GCCTGTTAAGCTACAGCAGCCTAGCCCTCGTCTGCAGGACCACAACTAGACATTCACCCTCATCTGTAGTCTCATAGATGGACACACATACATGGTTTTGTTTTAATTGTAAAATATTTTCTCTTGTTTTAAACCCCTTCAAATTCAACTGTCCCCTCCCCCCCCACCCCCAAAAAAAGAGAAATGGGGCGTTAGATCATAGAAAACATAAAGCTCTATGTATTTTTTAATTTTAATTAAACGTTTTGTCCTCAGACCGTCGTGACATTTCTTCATTTGCAGATCTTAAAAGCTTGGCGCTTTGTGGCTCGTCGTTTTGGTCCTAAATTAAACCCCCACCACGTCCAGAGGATGGTGATTTATGGGAAGTGCAACCCAGAAGCTGTTACTCGTGCTGTGAATGTTATACATTACACCGTGTATTTGTGACAAATAGCTTTTAGGTCCACGGGCTTAATGGTTTTCAGTGAAAATGCATAAGTCATCAAAAAGCGATTGTGTCGGGGTATTGATTTTACTGAATAAAATACTTTTTGATAAGAAATTTGATTTTTTTTGTTTAGTTTTTTTGTTGGAATTTTATTTCATATGATGATTAAAAGGTTTGCACACATAATATATGACAAAGGTGACTTAGACAAAAACAGAAAACAGCATTGTCTTGCAAAAATGCTTTTGTGTCATGTGCAGAAAATAAAAATGTTGGTAAATACCCAACAAAACCCTTTCCTCTCCCATAAATCTCATCTTTTAGGTGACTTTAAGCAGATTTAGAAAAACAAAACAAAGACATACCCAGTCAATTTATATTTATATATATATATTTTTTATATATATTTATATATATATAATTTTTTCTTTTGCGGTGGTACATTTAGGAATGATTGCCTTTTTAATCACATAAAAGGGACTTTGTTCTTTGTCACTACATGCTGGATAAAGGCATATATGATGTGAAGCGGGGACCTGTTTCCAGATTACTCCTTTTTTAAATAAAAAAATGCATCAATGACCATCATCACATAAAGTTATGCAATGCACAGCCTGACCCAATTTAAAATGGGTAAAAAATAAGATGAATACACCCCGATAATCCCTTTACACATGCCCCAGCAGGGCAGTAGTATGAGGAAGACATTTTGAGTTTTTAAGTATCCAAACTGAAAATGTTGAACTTCAGTTGGACTTTTGTCCAGCAGGTAGAGTCGTTGCACCACAAACTGTCAGTTTTTCCTCTCCTCTGAGTTTTAAAACATTACACCGGGTTAAATGTCCAGATAGAAACAGAACAGCAATCTCTGGTCAGGTCATATACAAAGAACTCCCCTTAATAGACCTCAGACTAACATATCAAAAACTGTCATTTTCAGTTGTTAACAGTGAATGATACTGAAACAGTTGAATTATTTAGTCCTGCCAGCATAAATGGCATCTGTCCTGCTACAGAAAAAGGGTACAAGCACTTGATGATGGGAAAACTTCTCATTTTCAGGACAGTACATTTTTTTATCAGGAGTTGTTAAATTGAAATGATGCCATAAGTTGTGCGACTCCTCAAAACTAGCGTTGGAGAACTGTATAGTTTAATGATACACACCACAAAATGTGTCAGTGTCCCAGATCAGTATGTGCTGACGGGGAATTCAATATTCACAATAACCTTAAGTTCATTTTTGTTTTAAAAAAGCTCTATTCTGGCAGTTTGTCTAGGACAGGAACATGACATCTGTAAAATGTTACTGAGAAAAACAAGTACCTTGAGATGATGGTCATGCACTGATGTTACTCAATGTCCCAGACGTGGCTCCCAGCCCCGTGCACGGTGCACACACAGAGCAGCACCTTATGGATGGAACTGCCTCAGATAACAACCGGATACACTGAAAAGAGATAAAAAGGAGATAAGGTGGTCTGAAGGAGGACATGTGATTTGCTATTGGTGTAAAGTGTCTTACATTTCCTATTCACCTGAACCAATACACCATACATATACATATACATATACATATACATATACATATACATATGCATATACATATACATATATAACAATGGCGTCTAAACATATAAGCCCATTCTGTGATTTGGGTTCATGTTAAGAAAAAGTCAAATAACACCTCCGTTGTTTTGTGGTGTTATGCAATCTGTCTCTCAATTTAATACAAATTTAACTTAATATTATTGGAATAAGGGTTCTGCAATGGCCAAATAAATTTTTTTCCGATTGCATAATAGTAGAATGTAATTCTTCCCAAGGTCAAATCGATTATCTGGAATTAAAAAATAGAAATAAAAAGGAAGAGTCTCCTAAATATGTGACATTTGTTTTGTAAGGGGGATCCACATTGCATCCAGCATATGGCCAAAATATCAGGACTTCTTTTCTCATAATAACAAGTAAATTTGATAAATTCACTTAAGAAATCTGCTATTTGTTGGTTTAAGACTTCTATCACAAGAAAATGGGTGTCGCTTTTTCAAGACGAAGACATGAGACAAAAACTGAGAACAAAGATGATGGTTTGATCAACTCCACTAATCTTCAACCATTGCCTGTACCTCCTTAAAGTCCGCAAAGAAAAAACTTTATGAGGCTAAAATAACACATATATCAAACTGCAAACTCTATAAAATGTTCCTTACTATCTATGGACAGATTATCTGCTATGACCTTTGTTAGCATGATAAAATGATTATTTGAATATTTCTCTAGCATGGCCTTGTTTTATTAGTGTTTTCAGTTTTTTTTTTCTTTATTTAGACGTTAAGACAAAGACAAATAAACTGTGTTTGTTTGTCTTTGTTATATGAAAAGTTTTAGTTACAGTTGTTTTCCCCAGGACAAAGCAAGAACTGGGAAAATCTAATTTGACATTGTCCGAGGTAAGCTAGTAACCTAGCATATTCTGCAAAATTCTTCTAGTACCTGATGTATTAGCATAAGAGATAAAAATGTGAACGTCTGAAACGTTGAATAACATGAAAGACCAATAAAACTTATTTTTTAGGCATAAATGTGTACATAAATGTTGACACTATTGGCCAATGTGCACATCCTGAGTACACCTAGCTATGCAGCTATATGTGGGTTTGGCAAACTCTTATGGCCCCAATGTCCATTTTTAGCTGATGATGTAATGTCGAAAGGTTCATACATAAAATCAAGGCTGTAATCTCTTGGCTTTCTTTGCCAACCCCGAACACTTTTCCTGTGCAATCAATGAGAGAGAGTTATCCTCATCAAGATAACGCACAAAGAGGTGAGTGTGCATGTTGGCTCTGGGCTGTCGTCAGCCCATTCAAATCTACCCCTGACTCCTTGGAAAAAAGCTGAGCATGCCTGGAGATGATCCCGTCTTATCAGTTGAATGAGCTCTTAAGCAAACAGATCAACTATGTAACCTCGTTAGGTTGAAAATTGACCTCACAAACCATTGTCACATAAACAAAGATTGACATCACCCTCTGTTCCGCCTCACTTTTGTTCTTGAGCTTATCTAAACAACACAGCTTCAAATATATTCCAAATACACGAACGCTTAAAAAAACTGTGCCTGTGATGACGTCTTTCGGCGTTATCTTTGTTTATTGACATATTTTGCAAACATTTGCAAAGGTCTGGAGGGGTTGTTGGTATTTGATGGGTTAGGTTTGAACAATATTGAAAGGCAAATGCCATCATCTGGTTATTGATGATTCAGGTTTTAGTTTCTGTACAGACACATTTCGGTTCTGAAAACAGAAAAACATTTGTTGACGTTAAACTTACCATTGCTCCCTCATTTTGTTGCATCCATCCCAACTTTTTTTAGACACGCTTCAACCATCTTATTAATAGTTCAAACATTTTTTTCAACATTTTCTGTGTTTTCTGTGACGAATTGTTAAAAAAAATGTTGGTTTATGAGGCATGAAAGTCATTGTACTCTTTCTTTATTTTAGAATCAGGGTTTCATTGTCTATGTCTCACAGTAAAATTAATTTATTTCTCTTTTCTATTTGAAGGCTTAAATATATATGGAGAAATTCAGAAGATTATTAAATTAAATTAAATTAAGCCTGTTATGCAGAGATGGGGTCAGACTGACAATATTTGTCTTATTTATTGGCCTTATTTAGGATTAAGAAAGGTTACTTGGTGAAATTTTATTATTAAATACTGTATCATTTCATAAAGTTTTGATCAACACTTTTTAAAAAGGTTCTTTTTAAACCCTGGTAGTGTAACACATATGTATTACAGTGTATAATACGGACAAATCGTTGCATTTTAAGATATCCTTTTCCAAAAAAAAAGATCATATTCGATTTCATATCACTTTTTTGGTTGTCTCTTTAGCTCTACTATAATAAATGAATTATTATGCTGAAAAAGGCAGACTTCCAGGTTATTTTCCTTTTATACTTTCATAATGCAAAAACCTAAGAACCCCTCATATACAATTTTCTAATGATTTTTCCAATCATTACTACTCTGACTTTAAGTGACCCACACTGAATTCTGGCTGCAGAGGAGCTGTGTAATCTCACAGGGGCAGAGTCTGTCTCATGCCGTAATAGTGACCTCAGGAATCCTGCTAATCCCAGTATCACATATCCAAAGCTCCTTTGATATGTCATCGGAACAGTGCACTACGTCTGAAGCGCATCACTCTCTGACCCTTGACCCTCCTTGTCTCCTTTAAAGAATGCAGCCATGGTTAAAGGTAACGTCTCCGTGTGGGACTGCTGAGTGGAGGGAGCGTGCTCTGGTTAATATTTAATGGTTGTTCCTGACAGAGAATTAACCAGTTTCAGCCTGAGAAATTCTGAGAAAAACTGCCCGCGCTTCTGAAACCAGTTTATTTCTCTGTAGAAGGAAGGCAAATGACTATAAAAGCACTTTTATTTGTTGAAAAAGCCTGACCCGCTCTGGAGTTACAAAGTCTTCGTTTTTATATGTAATTGCTGAAAAAGCTGAGCTGGTGAAAGGTTAGAGAGTCTTTATTTGCTGTGTAATATTTTTGCAAAGATGACAAAAGAAAATTCTGACTGAAAAGACAAAGACATTGTCAAAAGTTTAGGATAACTATAAATGATTAAAAAGTTAACTAAAGGCTAAAATAAACTAACAAACAAACAAAAAGTGGCTATCTTTTTGTGAAAAAAAGTCGACAAAGAATTCTCCCTAGTGCCAATCCTAAAGTGTCTTTTTTGTTGGTATTGTACAAAAACCAGCATGAAATGAACATTTGTTATGTGCAGGTCAAAGGAGGATGAGTTGTGTTTCTAAATATGCTCAAGATATAATTTAACAGCAGGAAGAATGTATACACATCAAGAAAGAAATAGAAATATCCCAGTTATTAGCTTCACATGTGCTAGTTATGGGATATTAGCTCTTAATCACAAAGATTAGCAAAATTCCCCTTTATAACATCCCAAAATTCAAATTTTTCTTGAATGTTTGCAGAAATCAAAGTGTGAAATAATGTATCACTGGTGGAAATTTGTTGGACATAGTCAACATGTGACCTGGTAAAACAGCACTCAGGGACAAAAGACAAAATATACAGTATTATGGTTTATTTGGCTTCTTCCCTTGGTACAAATCTGAAGAAATATAAAGAAATATCTTCACTGGTTACCTTTACAGGTGCTGGTTGATGGGTCTCGTTTTTTAAACCAGATTTTGAAGGCAACTCCACAACAAAAATCTAAACAGACTGGACATTCTAATAAAACCTCTTTATTGTAATGTGAGTGCTGCATTTTTTCACAAGAGAAAGCGAACAATACTGATCTGACTTTAATATAGAACAAAACAGTGCTGGAGCCATATTTATAGACTGTCACACACAAAATCCCAGAAAAGTTCAAAGCTAGCCAAGCACAAATAGCAGGCAGGACAAAATTCAAAATATCAACTTATTGTGACCCATTTACAGTTTTGAGAAAATATAAATCAGTGCTCAAAAGCGGGAAGTCTTGGAGAAACATTACAGATTTTTGCATTCTTTTATGCCTCCGATACAATTATGAAATTGTATTATTATGAAATATTATTAATTTATTAATTAATCATTTTGGGGGCTTCTGTAAGGGTGGCTGCTGTTTCCTTTAATAATCACAATAAACAGGGTTTAGAAGTACTACATCAAACTTAGTTACTCATTAAGAAAAAGAAACAAACAAATGTAGGAGCTAGCAGATGCTAGCAGATGCTTGGTCAGATCGGAACCCCGGAGCAAACGTCAGAAATGCTATTAGTTACTAAGTTTATTTTACACACCGGGATCCCTAAAGTGTCTCATTTGTATATATGTACAAATCAATAAAGTCTGATGCATTATCATAATTGGTGAGGTCTTTATTATAAGCTAAGCTAACCATCTGCTTATGATAGCTTTGTAAATGTACAAGTATTCAGTAAGAGATCCAGACTGGCTCTAACTTCAGATTGTCCTTAAACAGTCATAAAGTAAGGAACTAAAAAACTGAAATTATACGTTTTTCTTGCCTTTCTTTGTCTTACAAATGGTGCCGATGGCCCAGGGTACCAGCGTGGTTGGGATCAGGAGAGCAAACGCGCTCTTACAGAAGGACAGGGCATAGAACGTGACGTGGTCATCAGAGGAAAAGGTCCATCCGTCCAGCAGCTGGAGCAGCACCACGGAGATGGTGATGCTCCCCATCTTGAAGGCCAAAGTGGCGTTCTTCCTGGCGGCGGGGGCGTAGAGCGGGGAGTGCAGGCCCAGGCCCAGGCCGAACAGGGTGCCCATGTTGCGCAGGAGGCTGGCGAACGGCGTGGTGTCCAGGTGGACCCACTCCGGCCGGACGCACCACTTCTGGGCCTTCTCCAGGGTCCACAGCAGGTCCACTCCCAGAGCTCTGAGCAGCAGGTAGAAACCCACGGCGAAGGTGGTGAGGAAGAGGGTGGTGAAGAAGTACTGGTTCAAGCTGGCGCTGTAGATCCATTTCTGCCTGGAGACAACCTCAGCCACCAGGATGCCTGACGCAAAGCAGAGAGAAGGGCCAGAGGCCAAAATCAAACGCGGTTTGGGTGATTCCACATTTGATTAGAAGTTAAACTCAGTTAAAAAGATGCCAAACGGAGTGGGACGAGGCTCCCTGTCCAGTGTTTAAGCTGGGCAATGGAAATAAATGCAGACATTCCTCACTTTTTAAGTTTCCTTGAAAAAAAGAATAATGATATTTTTTTGAAACACTGTAATTTCTGATAATTTTAGATTATATATATTTTGAAAAGGATCAATAAATGCATTAAAAATCAACCAACATTTCACATTTTCAAGCTGTCGGCTTTGTTTAGCTGCTGGACCATATTTGGGAGCTTATTATGTTTTATAGATACAGATTTCTGTGGCTTCTGTTCTCGTCTTGACTCATCCTGGCGAACCGACCTGTAATGGCCCCTGCCACAACCTGGTGCGGGAAGTGGGCAGCCATGTAGACTCTGGACATGCCGACCACCAGCTCCACCAGGGCCACGAGCGCCCACAGGCCCCCCCGCAGCAGCCTGAGGAGGTGAAGACTGAGCGTCACGCCGCGGGATCGCAGCTCATCCACTTTCTACTGAAGTGCTTTATGCCGACAGATACTCACTTGTATGACGAAGGAGGGCATTTTTTTTCTGCGGCAACAGAGAGAAGCGCCGTCACCATCACGTACCAGACACCGGCCGAACCCATGGCGTGACCCGAGGGGCTTCCTGAAAGGCACAAACTAAGGTTGGAACTTTTCCGAGCAGTTTAGGTGAAGCAGGAATGCAAATGTGATACAATTTGACCAGCTTTTGTACATGCAAACAGACTGAAGAGTTAGCCTGAAGTCAAGCAATGTGTTAATGATAATTTTTATGGAGGAAATTATTAGATGGAGGCCGGAAATCAAAGCACGAAAAGCTCAGCTCATTTTGGCACAAGATAACATACAGAAGTTTGTCTTTTCCTGTGCTGCTGCAAAAGTTATTACATATTATTATATATATGTAATATATTTGAATTACAATAAATGAGTTAGAATTTGCAAACTTGCAGATACAATTTTTTAAAGAACTTTAATGCAAGGTGAAAAGTTAAATGCTCTCTGGTTGGTTTCCCATTTAGTCATTTTAATTGATCCATTCATTTTTTCTTTAAAGCCACTTTTTGTTCAAAATCAGAATATTAAAATCTATATTTCACCCATTTGAAATGACTTCATCATTCAATTTAGATGCCTTGATAATTGCCAATGATTTTTTATCTGGTTTTATCTAGTGCACACACACCGATAAACATTGAAGCAAAGATAAAAATCCAATGCAAATGGACAAAAGGTGCACAAGTTCAGATCCAATTCGTAAGCGACACCCATTCAGTCGAAGCCTGCAGCTACAGTTATTATCTGCTAATGATTTACTCTCATTTTTTGCCCCAGGAATAGTTCACTGTGCCAGACAGATCCAGGCACCCGGTCACGTGATCAGCACCTCTGCTGTGACGCTTACCCGGTCCGGTCTCACATGTGATGGGGAACTGCTTCAGGGTCGGGGCCTCCCCCGCGGCGTAAAACCGGGTCTCGTGCACCCACCAGTAGGGTCTCTCCCCAGAAAGAACCCTGTCACGTGGACGACAAAAGTCAAGCCGCTCGCCTTCTCCCGTCTCCCGTCACAATTTCAGCCTTTTTTACCAGACAGTGCGGAGTCAAATCCCATACCACTTGAGCACCAGGTTGAGCCAGTCCCCGATCACGGCCACCCAGATCAGCCGGAGGCCCGTTTCCCTCCTCAGGTGGAACCAGATTGGGAACAGGCCGAAGAAGGCCGTGTGCAGGTCGGCCATCGCGGAGGCCAGGCCGAAAAGCCCCTCGTACCTGCTGTATCTGGTCTGCAGATGAACGGCCAGGTCGACCCCCCGGCTGTGCAGCAGATCCATGGTTTCGGTGGGAGGGCGACGGGCGGAATCTGGGCCGTTGAGCCTTTACCGAAAAGGACAGTTTTCTGCAAAGTTCGTTCTGTCTGGTGGTGTCCGTTGTCTGTGTGATTTCCCATTGGACTTTACTCAAGGCTAGCAGATTTGTTTGTCTTTGGGACAGTGCAGAAAGGTTCCTTAACCTTTACACCCCTGAGGCCCCCGTCTGCTCAAAATCCATGAATTGAGAAAGCATCTGACACTCCTCCGACAAATCGGAGATTTCAAAAGAAGCTTTTATTCTTTCAAATGAACATGAGACAGAATTTGTGCTGAAATAACATCTTTTGTCCCAAGTAGAAGTCACATTTAGTCCCAAACATTTGACAAACATCCTCCCTGAAACCAGATTTCATGTAAAATCTTGCATGCAGATTTCTCCTAATCTTTATAAAAGGGAACAGCTTGTGCCGATTTCTTCTTCTTCCTCTTTTTAAAATGAGTGTTTATCAGCAACTATCAGCAACATTTCTGCCCCGGCCAAAGCCGATCTCTTAATCATTGATCCCTTTATGTAATCAACAAATGTGTTACTCCACAATTCTTAGATGTTTTCAGCAAATTTATCAAGAGAACAATTACGTAACTGACGAATGATTCATCCGCGCCGCGTTCTGGGCAGATATTCATTGATCGGCCGACCTCTCCCCTGAGCTGTGTACAGTAACTCAGCGGGAACGGAACCAATTGACGTTTTGTTTTCCCCTCCCCGCTATCTGCTCCAACCTGTTTGTGCGACCAGCCTCTCCAGCTCCCAGTGTTCCAGTGTTTTATTACACACGAGAAAAAGGTCCAAAGATCAGCGTGAGCACGCGTTTCTGCGGTGGGACCCCTGGTATAAAACCGGCCAACCGTGTCACCGACAGCCACACTCACACTCTCAGAGACTCTAGACTCTCTCAGGCTTAAGATGTTCAGCGCCGTGATGGACGCCGCCCAGGCTCTGGGGGTGAGCAGCACCCACTACCTGCAGACCCACTACAAGGACGCCCAGGGCTTGTTCCTCTGGGTGTCCTGGGCGGCGGACCTGAGGAACACCTTCTTCATCTTCTTCCCGCTCTGGTTCCACCTGCGCTCCTCGGTGGCCATCAAACTCATCTGGGTGGCGGTGATCGGAGACTGGCTGAACTTGGTTTTTAAATGGTCAGTTGAGCATCGGCTCTAAACTGCGTGGGGAAAAAAAAGCGGATTAGCAGCAAAAAAAAAAAGAAAAGAAAAGAAAAAGAAGCTGAATGTGTGTTTCTGACGTCTTTTTTTCAGGATTCTGTTCGGCGAGAGGCCCTACTGGTGGGTCCACGAGACGGCTCACTACGCGGGCATGGCTCGGCCTCACATCGAGCAGTACCCCATGACCTGCGAAACGGGACCAGGTGAGAGGGGCTGACACTGAACACACACACCTTCCACTGTTCATTCATCAAGTATCAGCCATCCCACATCCTCCATCCAGCATTCAACAATTCACTTTCTGCATCACAAAGAGTGAGAACCATCACTAGAACAGAAATATACAGAAACACACAGAAACAGATTGGAGCAGTCGTGTTTGGAGAGATGCTTTGCATGTTTTTAGGATATATTCCAAATCTCCGTGCAGCAAATTCTCATTGATTTTCATCTCAAGTTTGGTCACCGTGGTGATGTAGTTTGACCCTAAGCATCTCTTCTTTACTCTGCATGTCTTAAGTGATCCTTTAAAATATTTTGCAGATATTTCAAATGTATTTCGATGCAACTGGGTCGATGCCTCAAAAGGGCAGAAAGCAAAATAGAGAAAAGATCATAAAAATGGAGCAGCAAATTACAATTTTGCACATATTACAGTTGCAGCCACTGAAACAATAAAAAAAGACGAAATGTCAGCTTTAGACCTCGATTTCTGAGTTTTTAGTTGCGTTATGTGGTTTTCTATTCCCAACTGGAGTGAAAAAAAACAGTCAACTCCCAGTTTAATGGAGTCTAACGTGTCCTCTGTTTCCTGGACCAGGCAGCCCCTCCGGCCACGCCATGGGAGCTGCAGGCATCTATTATACCCTGGTGACCTCCATCCTCGCCATCATGACCAGCAAGAAGAAACACGGAGGCAAGACATCTTCAAACAAAAACTGGTGAGTCCGAACCCCCCTTACCCCCCACCCCCCCGTTCACTTCTGTTCTCTTGTGACGTCAGTGTTGTTTACCACTTTCCTCTATCTGGAGCTTATCATTTGGGACACACTATCTGTTCTGGGCTGTGGTTGATCATTGACTTATGCCTACTATTTGTCTCACGGGGGGTGGTGGTGAAGGGGGGTTAACAGAGAAAACACAGAAAAGTGTGTTTTTAGGATTCTGGTGGACGGATGAGTGATTTTTTAAAAAACGGCTGTAAAAAATGGTCTGATTTCCTTTTCTTCCGGCAGGTACCTGAAGGCGGTCCTGTGGACGTTGTTCTGGGGGGTCCAGGTGTGCGTGTGCCTCTCCCGGGTCTTTATTGCCGCTCACTTCCCTCATCAGGTGGTGGCCGGAGTTATCTCGGGTCAGTGCGGAACTCTCTTGTATTGTTCTGGTATCTTTTTTGTCACGGGCCTGTGCTGTCCAGTGGGGGAAAGCGAGGTGTTCACCGGGTTTTTCTGATGTCTCCAGGTATGATCGTGGCCGAGGCCTTCAACAGGACGCAGTGGATCTACAGCGCCAGCATGAGGAAGTACTTCTACACCACCCTCTTCCTCACCACCTTCGCCGTGGGCTTCTACCTGCTGCTCAGAGCTCTGGGGGTGGACCTGCTGTGGACCCTGGAGAAGGCCCAGAAGTGGTGCGCGCGGCCGGAGTGGGTCCACCTGGACACCACGCCGTTCGCCAGCCTCCTGCGCAACATGGGCACCCTGTTCGGCCTGGGCCTGGGCCTGCACTCCCCGCTCTACACCGAGGGCAAGAAGAGCAGCGGCCGGGCGGCGAGGGCGGCGTGCGTGCTCAGCTCGCTGCTGCTCCTGCACCTGTTCGACTCCTTCCGGCCGCCCACGCACACCGCCGCCCTCTTCTACCTGCTGTCCTTCTGCAAGAGCGCCACCGTGCCCCTGGTCACCGTCAGCCTCATCCCGTACTGCGTCAACCGGGCCCTGAGCCAGCACGGCAGGAAGGGGCTGTGAGCCCCCCCCCGCCCCCGCGTGCACAGACTCTTCCCGATGAGAAGCTTCTTCTGGTGCTTTGTCGCATTCAACGCGATACTCAAGGCGAGCTCCGAGATCAATTGGAAAAATGCTTTTTTAAGGGGACTGGGTGAACTCTGAACCCCCGCCCGACACTGAGTGGAGACACCAGGACACTCGGCGGCACTTACAGATATCCCGAATTGAGGAAAACACCATCATTCCAGTCTTTTGGGAGTCCTGGAGGAAGATGAACGAGCCTGGCAGTGAATGTTTGCTTTCATGTGTTATTTCTATTGTCATAATGTATTTTTAAATGTTTTTGAAGTTTTTTTTTTTTTTGAAAATGTGCAGAATATTTTGTAATAAATATGTGGAAAACAAATATGCAGACTTGGTTCTTAATTCCCTCGAATGCGAGATGTCTCCTTTGAGAAACTTGGTCTAATGCTTCCAGAATTATCCCCAAGAATATCGTCCAGGGGCCTGGACGATCTTAGGTCTGCTCTATGTACCATGTGAGAGCTCTTTGAGGGGATGATGCTGGGTTTAAAGCAGACTGTGTCGGTCTTTATGGTCAGACAGACATTTGAATCTGTTTGAACTTTCAAGGCTTTTTAAAATCGCATTTTCTTTCTTTTTTTTAAAACCCAAAACAAAGCATTTTTCAGTGGGGTGGGCTGCATGGTTTGAAGTTTGCTTTTAAATCCATGCAGGTTTTGTTAACTGACCCTAAAAATGACTCGGTGTGGAAGTGAGGGACACACAGGTGGACATAACCCAACTAATCAAGTGACCTGTGAAGATAATTAGCTGCACCTGATCTTCATTTTTGGACTTCACATTTAGAGTGGGTTAAAGATAATTTATCACCTTTTAAACTGAAAACAATCAACCAAAGACTTCAGCTGTGCGGTGACAGCATGTCATGTTTAAGGGCATCTTTTCAAGAGATCAGTACGTGAAAGTTTCATCTGCAGTAGCCAAATCAACTGATGGTATGAACTGCATTTCTGGTTTGTATGTTTTTTTTATTGGAGCTGAATCAACCCTCAAAGTGTGACATTTGTCAGATAGTTGCTGCCTATTAACGACGGATAAACAAATCTTCGGGCTTCAAAATGGTAAAAATCCCCTAAAACAATTTCCAGGTTGTCTCCATATTTGCTGACTCTTGAAAAACCACAGCGAAGCCATTCGTTCCGTCCCAGCAAAGAGGCCAAGTGCAATTACATTACATCAGTAGAAGCAGACAAACAACACCCCCCCCCCACCTCCAAAGAGGGCAAAGAAAACCCGTGTTCCACTTTTACTGGTTTCATAACCCCAGAGGGGGCAGCCAGGTCCAGACGCAGCATGGATCATTAACCACCGGGCCCTCCACCACAGGGACCCCCACGTCACACGTGTGTCTGAGCGAGCCGAACATTCAATATTTGTGTTCCCCACATGTCAAGACTTCTGGGTCACGCCGGTTGCCACACAGGTTTAGACCCAAAATACGGAGAATGTGACGCGTGTGCCAGGATTTCAGAGAAGAGTTTGTGGTGGGTTTCGGCAGAAAAACCTCCAACTTTGGGTGTGCTTTTTCAGACACATCTCACTGGAACTAGAGTCTTTTAATGTCCAGAATGTGCAGGGGGGGAGCATATAACCCATCGTACCTGGAGACACAACAAAGTGTAGCATGAGTGTTCTGCATTTTGAGAGGGATGTCCAGATGTTCATGTCAGCTGGAATGCATGGATTTATGATTGGACTCGGTGACCAGAGAGATGTCAGACAGTCGTGTGTGGTGGAATAAAAGTGTTTCGAGCCTTCCTCCAGTCGTGCCGTTGTGTATTGAGGCTAAAAGTCAAGGGCACTGGTCAGCATTGGCCAGATGTTGCAGCTGCTGGGCAGCAGATCACATAAAAGGGCTTGTGTATGTCAGCAAGAAGCATGCTGTTGATTTTTGTTGGTGTCTGTCGCCACCAACCAGGGATTCTTTGTCATAGTCATGGTTTCTACATTGGATTTTTAAGATTCAACTTCTTTTTTGGCTAGTTTTTACTTCTTTTTTGCCTCACTTTTCACAATTTAAAAAAAAAAAGTTTAGCAAACGGATGGATGCGATTTTCTACATTTTTTATTTGTAATAAATGTGCGAACACTTTTCTTTTCATTATTGGCTGTCACTGTGAGGTGTTCAGTGTAGAGTTTTGAGAGGAGATATTTTATTAAATCCATTTTGAAATAAAAAAAAATGGGTAAAAGTGCTTGTGCGTTGCAGTAGTGATCACTTCTGACCAGTAGATGGCGGTATTGTGCATTTGAATTGTGTTTTTTCTTACTTTTGTCTGCATGATGGAAAAATAAGTGTACCTTATTGATGTAAATGAATAAATAATTCAGTGCATTTCCCCTTTAATAATACCAAAGTGTGCTAGTGTGCCATTTACTTGTGCAAATTCAATAGTTTACAGACAGACTCTCAGGAGCTCGGTTTAAACACAATTTATTCTTCTGCTTAAATAATTACTTGAATCATCCAGTGTAGGCTATGTTGGTTCGTCATACATGTTGTTCCAGATTTATCATCATCAGTGGATGCTCAGTGTGGATTTGTATGAAAAAAAAACAACAAACAAAAACAAAACAAAGGAAGGAGAAAGAGTCACATTTGGACACATGTTATTAGTGTTATTTTGGCTGTTGGTACAAAGAATTAGATCCGGGCTTAAAATTAGGCCCCCTGTTCTCATGTAAATAGTTAAACAAGATAAAAGTCATCAAACCGTCAAATAAAAACAGTCCCCTTTTTAAAACTGCGGCAGGTCTAAAAGCTTGTACTTCTAGTATGCATGACGGGCGTACAAATAGACAGGTTTTATATTGTTACACACTCACACGCACACACACACACACACACACACACACACAAAGGGCTGCTAGCAGTTGGGAGCTAACGTAATGAGCCGGTCTGCAGGTTACAGGAGGGGACGCCGGCAGAAGAGTGCGTTTCCGTCTTCCAAACTAAAACCAAAGACAGCCACGGGTGGACGTACACACGGGTGGGTTATTTTCGGGCCCTCTCTAACTGAATGACAGTGCTCTGAATCGGGAGGGGAAGAAAGGAAAGCCTGAAAAATAAAGTGACATCACATGCAGCAAAGTATCTCTCCGACAGCTGATTGGCTCCTTTTCCTACTGGTGTGGGAAGAGCACGGGGGGGGGGGAGCTTCCGCTCCAATCAGTGCGTAAACGACCTGTGAAGCTACCGACTTTTCCCCCTCTTTTATACAGTGTCATTTATATACAACAAAATCACCCATTTGCTATTAGAGTTGTTATTTTTTCCTTTTAGAAAACAGCCACCCGGTGCTCCCCGGCGCCGCGGGTCCGGGGGGGAAAAGGCAGACCCCACTGGGCGGGCGTCTGGGGGGGGGGGGGCCCCGGGGGGGGCCGGGCAGCAGGGGAAAGCCCCCCCCCCCCGCCCAGGGTCCGAGCGTGTCCCTCCCTGTTGTCTCGGACGGTGAGTGACTTGTGGTGACATGCTCATGCGAAATCAAAGAGAAGAAACTTGTTTTGCGTCGCCTTGCTGAAAACCATGCGCTGAAAGTGAAAGCTGTGGACACGTTCCTGGCTGATTGACACGGGCCTCTCTCTCCCCCCCCCGCCCCCTTTGATGGGCTCCAGTCTGATTTTCCTCCCAGGTGTGAGTGGGGTCGCGGGTGGACGTCGGCGGACCTGGAAGCATAAGGATGAACCAACACAATTCTGTGTAAATCCCCTTAAACTACAGAGATGTTCAGATTTAAAGTGTTCCAATGATTTCTTTAGCCTGGAAACATGAATATAATAATCATGAATTATCTGGAATGGATAAGAACTGGATTACAGTAAATTGATTTGAACTTAGCATCTTTTATTCTACGAATATGATAATTAGCCTCTTTCAGAAGCTTAAAAATGAACTATGATGAAAGTGAGCCTGCAGACTCTTACCAGTTTGGGCTGAGAGTTCTGCCGTTACGACTGACTCTTCCTCCCCTGTTTCTTGTTGGCGTCTCCAGGCTTCGCCAGAGAAGATGATAAACAGGGATGTTCATCATCGTGCGATGGAAGAGAAAACGAGAAGAAAATAAGACGTCAGGGTCCATTCAGGGTGAAAAAGCGAGCAGTGGGTGTTAGTGAAGCTGGACGGGCTCGGCCACTACGTCATGCTGGAAGGAAGACGAGTCTCGGGAGAGAAAAACGAGGTTAAAATGTTTCTACGAGCAAAATCACACATGCTTAACAATTAAGTTCCTTACTAAAGAAATATCGGTTGAAAAACACACTGCAAACTCCAGACGATGAACAAACATTTTTCAGTCGGGCACTACGGCGGACAGCTCAGAGTTTGTGAGGCTTCATGTTCAGTTTGTACCAGCAAAGATTCATTTAATGGATCAGTGTTCTAATGTGCTGCCCAGCTGAGATACAAATATAGAAAATACTCTGTTAGTTCATTTAGTGGTTTGACAGGAATGACTGAAAACAGGTGTGGTCCCTCCACGTTTGGCTGTTTTCAGCTAAAGAATCGGTTTAGTCCCTTCAGAAACTGAAGCTTTGCTGGCTTAGCCTCACTCCCATCTCAGTGTCCGGCCCCTAAAGTTACACCCGGTCCGGACCGGGGTCAGACCTCAGTCCTCCCTCTGGCCTCCTCCTTGTGGCCGTGTCTGGAGCGCTTCCCTCTCTTCTTGCTCTTCCCTCCTTTGGCTCCGGCCGGAGGATCTACGTCAGCCCCCCCGGCTGCCTCCTCCACTACCGCTTCCCCCTCACACCCCTTCCTTTCTGCCGAGGTGTAAACCCGGCGCACCACTTTCCTGATCACCTGATGGAGGGGCGGAGGAGCGGAGGTGTTTTTTTTTGAGGAGAGAATGAAAACAATGGAAGAGGATGAGGAGCCGCGGAAGTGTTTGTGAGCTGAGAGAAAAAGGAATGGAGGAGGGTTAGGATAGGTTACTTTTCTCGTGACCAGATTCCCGTCCTCATCTGTAAACTGCTCCTCCGTCACAGACTCCCCAGGAATGTTTCTGGCCTCCTCCCCCTGAGAGAGAAGTTGAAGGTGAAAGGATGAGGGGAAATGGAAGGAAGGAGGGAGGAGGAAAGGGTGCAGATGGACTCATCTGTGTGGCCCATCACCAAATGGAACAACATTGACACTCAGACGTCAGCCTTCATCAAACCCACTCGTTTCATCATAATCGTCTCTCCTCTGTGTTAGGGACGAGGTAAAAGTTCTGAGAACTGCTGAACGCTACGTCATGCGCAAGCGGAATTAGGAAAAACCACTCAGCAGAGCAATAAGCAACGACTTTTGCTCAGACCAGCTAAAAAGCATCGTTTAAAAAACAGGACAAAAACAGAAAAATCTTCCTAAGTAGGAACTTAACTTCCTAAAGGGAATCTTTTAACCATCAAGTGTTATTAGGGGAGGGGGTTTTCAGAATACTTTATTTTCCTCTTTTTAAAAACTTAAAGTAACATTACGGTTTAGGATTAAAAGGCTAAAAAAACAACAATTAATCAGAAAAATCATATAAAAGAGGGAATAAGAACTAAGCTTTTGAAGAAAAAATACACGTATCTTCATTAGTCAGAGCCCCCAAACAAATGATGTCCATTTCCAGTAGAAATGAAGACATCAAACCAAATCCAGCCTTAGAATGTCGGATTTTAACAGCCACACAAGCAACACAACCAAAAGTCTGATGTCAAACAGGAGGTCAAACCAACCGAAGCTCACAGCAGGCGCTCAGAGAAGCGAAGCTCTTTCTTTTAGAAATGGAGAGGAAGTGAGTCTGGGAACGTTTTTCTGGGAGTTCCTGCACATTTTCGGGGAACTTTAAACAGATTTCATTCTGTTCCCAGCCTGAGCGAAGATCAGAAACATTTCCCTCCAGTTTACTGAAAACCCTCCGGCCTTTCGGTGTTATTTTTCGGCACGTGGAGCCACTCCCACGTTTCACTTCTACGGTCATGCTGCGCGGCGGCCCCAGCTCAGGCCCCCTCCCTCCGGCCGGCGCCACACCTTCAGTATGACCCGTCTGCGGAACACCCGGGTGGTGACGGTGGGCTCCTGGTCAGAGCCGGACTCCTCGGCCCAGGCGCTCTGCTGGGGGGGGCGGCCCGGCGGCCTCTGGTGAGCGTTTGAAAACCGGAGCTGCTAACTGGATCTGATACCGGGCGGGCGAGTGGTCGCGGCGGGCGGGCGGGCGGGCCTCACCTGGACTTTGTGCTGGGACTTGTCCGTCCCCTCTTCCCGTGCTTTGCTGGCCCCCGCTGTGCTGCTGCCCCCCTGGGCTCCTCTCTTCTTGGCCTCCTTCTCTGCCTCCGTGTGACCGCCGTTCTGGACCGGTGGCTGCTCCAGCGAGTCGGCTAAACTGTCCGGGCTGCGAAAAGAGGGTTACGGTTACACATTGAGTTCATCCTGGAAGCTCTCTATGGCTGACTGATCTGAACGGGAGCGATCGACCCCCCCCCACCTGCCCTCCTCCGCGCCGGGACTGTGTCCAGCTGCTGCCTCGGCCGTGGCGTCCGGCGGCTCGCTTCTCCACCCTGGAACTGAAGACAGTTCTTTTTCTGCTTGCCGGACTTGTTGGAGGATCGCATTGACCCTCTCCTCTGTCATCTCCTCCTCCTCCACGCCTCCCTCCAGCTTTATGGCCTCCAGCAGACTCTGCAGCCTCTCTGAGGTCATCTCTTCTTCTTCTTCTTCTTCTTCCTCTTCTGCTTCTCTTCCGTTTCCCAGGCCAGCGGACGAGACGCCCTCTTTCGGTTTTCCCTCCAGGCTCCCCGACGCCTCTGTCCTCTTTCCTGCCTGCTCTACCGCTCTCCTGTCGTTGTCGGGCCCTCTTTCTCTGCCGGTCAACGCAGTGTCCTCACCCCTGACGATGGGGGGCGCCGCGGCTTTGGCGCCGGGGGCGGGGACCACTGTGGAGGGGTCGCTGCTGGACGTGCTGGTGGTCTGGGCGAGCGACAGGTCGCTAGGTCTGGTAAGCGTGGTCTTGCTAGGGGACTCTACGCTAGCATCGCCCTCGCTAAAGAACTCGTCGCAGCGGAGGGGGGTGGGGGGCTCGTAGCGGAGGTCTGTAGGGGTCTGCAGTTCCAGATCTATATTGTCGTATCCTGGATGGATGGCAGGAGTAAAGGATTAGAGGAACGATGAGGGAGGGAGAGGTGAAAGAGGGGAGGAACAGGGGGAGGAGAGGAGAGGTAAAGTGGTGGAGCTGATGAAATGAAAACACTTGTGTAACATTTAAAGGGAGCTCTGATTCAAAAGTCACAGAAAAGACCCAAATTCAAGATGGACACGTGTCAACACGGACAATCCTGCTCGTGGGCCGAGACAGGAAGGGCCGGTTCTGGGTTAGCTTCTGAACCAGCACTGGATCCAGTTTGGGATAATAAACCTCATTCTGAAGGAAAAAGGGGGGAGCGGGCATTTTAATTTAGCTCATGAAAGAAGATGAACTTGAGCATAACTTTCATTCTCAAAAGTTATTGATATAAAAACAGTTTGAACACATTTCAGACTCCACTTTGTAGAGGACATTTTAAGCTAGTTTATCTTTACATTTGTGCTTCTAAGCCAAGAACGTAAACTCCTAATAATGATAATAATAAAAGCAGCTACTTGATTCCATATCTTTAAAATGTGGAAATGCTAAAAATGCTAATGCACGTTAGCCCTGATGCGTGGCAGGGCGGTCGGGTTCGTGTGACTTTTGAACCAGCTTCACAACAAACAACAATACCAAAAAGAGATGAAAACAGAGACGTAAAAGTACCAAAGACAGACTAAAATAACTAAAAACTTGACTTAATCTGTATTTGTGTTCTGTGGACGCTATCATTAAGAGGCATTGGTACAGTATCATCCACAAAGGCCCTCAAGATGGCTCTTAAATCAGCCAGATATTTTTTAAAATACTCAACTTCAGACTCATGCACTTGCAGATTAAGTGAAATCAGGAAGGAGGGACTCGGTCACAGCTCTTAAAAACAAGCCCAACTTCATTTTTTGGGTTGTTTAAGAAAGGCAGAGAGGAGCAGAGCACGCCGACAGACGTCTAAATGTAAACCTCAGGGACAGAACGATCACGCCTGAAGTACGGGGGGACACCCGGAGGGAGGGGGGAGGCCGGAGGGGAGGGGCAGGGATGAGGCAAGGGGGGAGGGAAGGATGACGGGTGAGAAAAGGGGAGGATTGTAGAAGCTTGAGGGGGGGAGGAGGCACGTTGTGGGCTCGGGGAGGTAAGAGGAGGAGAAGGGGGGGTGTAAGCAGGAGACTGTAACATGGAGGGAGAGGATGGACCGTTTAGGGGGGGTGAGGTACAGGAGGGGGGACACTGACCAGGTGGGGGAGAGACGGCGTAAGAGGTAGGGCTGAGAGGGTCAGGGGGGGAGGGCCACGCAAAGGCAGGGGGGGTCA